GGAGAGGGAGAGGGAGAGGGAGAGGGAGAGGGAGAGGGAGAGGAGAGGAGGGCAGAGCTGAGTGAGGGTCTGCCTTTGGCTCCCAATCCTCCTCCTCATCACCACTGTCACAGGACCAGACAGAGCCCCCAGTGCCAGATGGGTCTGTCTCTGTGCTCAGCCATCCCACCTGCACAGGATGCTGGATTATTTGTTAGTGGATTACAGGAGATAAAGTATTTCTGCCCTTGTTTATTGGGTTTGCTGTCACAGCATCCCAACCAAAAGGTGTTTCCACAGCTCTCACTTTCCTCACTCTGCCCTCAGCTCCTTGCAGGGCTTTGCAGATTCAGTGGCAAGTTGCATTTAATGGCCATCAATTAATCTGTTGCTCGTTTGATAAGGATTATTGTGAGGGACTGACCTAGCAAAGTATGCACTGTCACTACCCCAAGCCATGTGTTCAGCTCCCTAAGACAAACCTTTAACAGGATTGGGAGCTTTAGCCAAGTTATAAATATCTGCTCATGGCTGAACTCTGACCAGGAATGTACAAGACATTCCCTGTCACTTTGTCACTGAGGGAACACAGGTTTGAGCAGCCTTTGCAGAAAGGAAAGCACATTGGATGCTGAATTAAAATATCAGCTGAGGTTATCCAGTTATTTTGCATCTTAGAGATACAGAATGTTGGGAGATACACCCACACTGCAACATCACTGGGCTGTCCCTGCTGCAGCTCAGCTGTCTCAGACCTCAGTGCTGAACAGAGAAAGGGAAGGAATACCTAAAGACAATGAAGGTTTTGAAGAAACATGATTTATATCATGGAATTTGGCCCTACTACTTCAGCACAGCTCCATGATGAACTGTGCAGAACTGACCTTATCTCTACAGAGAAAATGGTGGGATTTTATCTACATATTGCATCATCTTGCCTTGAATACCCTAAGTTTGGGCTGCTGGAGATACAGTTCTAGCTTTAGAATCAGCATCCACTTAAGTTACTACCACACTGTTGTTTCTTGCTAGTTCTTCTCTCTGGAAGTTCCTTTCCAGCTCACAGCAGCAGCATCTACTGAAATACAACTTCTCCTCCTCTCTGCAGAGGTGCCTTCTCTGAAGTTTTCCTAGTGAAGCAAAGAAGCACTGGGAAGCTCTTTGCTCTCAAATGCATCAAGAAGTCTCCTCTCACAAGGGACAGCAGCTTGGAGAATGAAATAGCAGTGCTGAAAAAGTGAGTAGACACATGCTCTAATGTAAAGTAGAACCAATGTCCTTTCCTAAGATGTGTGGCTCTACAGCAAGAACAATTACTAATTATATACAGTTATCACTGTGAATTAATAGGATAATTTTTTCTCCCATTCCTTGCTGGGTTTATAACCCCAACACAAGCACATTGCCCCAGATTTGGAGAAGGAAATCATAGAATCCCAGAATGGTTTGGGTTGGAAGGATCTTAAAACTCATCTCATTCCACCCCCTGCCATGGGCAGGGACACCTTCCACTAGTCCAGGTTGCTCCAAGCCCCATCCAACCTGGCCTGGAACACTCCCAGGGATGGGATATAATAGAAATAGATGAAGCAGAGCAGCACACAAGGAAAGGAGAACCAAAGCAGATGCTTTTGCAGTCCAAGGAATATTTCTGGTGTAGCTGCTTAAAAATAAAGAGTCTGGTTGGTTCTTGGTGCCCCAAGTGGCATCAACCATCCTCTGCCACACCGGATGAGGGAGATCAGCCCAGTGAACTTTCACTGGTGATTCAAGCAAGATGACTGTTGGATTTTCCACTTCAATAGCCACTTCTGTCTTCACCAGCTTTGTTTCTGACCCACGTTTGTCTTTACAGAATAAAGCACGAGAACATCGTGACTTTAGAAGACATTTACGAGAGCACAACTCACTTCTACCTGGTCATGCAGCTGTAAGTATCAGCACAGCCATTTCTTTGGGGGCCACAGAGGATGAAGAGTGGCAGCTCCAGGGTGATGCAACATATTTCAACACCTACAGGATCCATCCCAACCCCCTCACTGCCCAGGCGAGAGCTGCACGGTTGGAACCAACTTGGACACTTGTCATGTTGTCTTGGCCCATCCTCATTTTTAACAGCAAGTTTCTAAACCAGGATTTGGATCTATTTATGCAAATTAATTCATCACAGTTTAGCAGGGCAGAGACAGAAGCATTTCTAATTAAAGCTGTGCCACGCAGGGTTTCTAGAAATGAAAATGGGCAGAGAAAGTACTCTGAGCTCCCAACTGCTATTGCTCACTGCAAATGTAGCTAAAGGAAGCAAAACTCTATATCCACTTGTGTAGTGGGGATTGGAGGCAGGACTGGATGCCTCCAACTCAGTCCTGACTGGACTTGCCTCAGAACCTTACCCAAATTCCCAACAATCCTTACTGGCACCTTGAAATTACCCCCAGGAACATCCACCAGCCTCAGCCTCACAGAAACTTCTGCCCAAGGAATGGTGGAGTTGCAAAAGGAGCAGAAAATCAGCTTGCCCAACACAAAAGCATGATGAGCTTTGCTTAATTATTTTTTTCCCCCAGTCCTTTGCCTTCTAAACTGCCCTTTCCACAGGGTGTCTGGGGGAGAGCTGTTCGACCGGATCTTGGAACGAGGTGTTTACACAGAGAAAGATGCAAGCATGGTGATCCACCAGGTCCTGACAGCAGTGAAGTACCTGCATGAGAATGGAATAGTTCATCGAGACCTGAAGGTAAGACTTGACCTTCAGGAGCACCTCAGGGAGCTGCTGTGGCTCTTAGCTTGACCTGCTCTGGCCCATGAGCTTTTGCTGTTCCATTCTTCTACCACCAATTTCAGCCTCTGACCCACTCTGTGTTCACAGCCTGAAAACCTTCTTTACCTGACTCCTGAAGAGAATTCTAAAATCATGATTACAGATTTTGGCCTGTCAAAAATGGAACAGAATGGCATCATGTCCACTGCCTGTGGGACACCAGGATATGTGGGTAAGCCAAGGATCAGGAATGGGTTTGTGCTGGTGGATTGTCTGGAAAAAAAGGCTGTTCACATACAGCACATTGCCTAGAGGAAAGGAAAAGAAATACATGATTACATAGATAGCAACATGTCACTCAGAGATGCACTGCATGGACCACAAATACCGGATTATAAGGCAGTGTAGAGACTGAAAAATATCAGAATGCTTAAAAGTGCAAAGGCTAATTCCAAGAGCTATGTATTTATTGAAAAATTCTAAAAATCATTTTAACTCAATGGGATTATGTTTCATGCCCTCCAGGCTGCATTGGCTGGAGCCACAGCTCACTGGGTAAACCTCAGGATGCAGAGATTGTCCATAATGGCATAAAATAGATAAACAAACCACAGACCAATTCAGCTGGTCAATGGGGCTGTTACTGGCTGATCTCTGCAGTGGCACCTCAGAGGCCAAGTGTACAAACTCCTGCTCTTCCCAAAATTGGCTAATTTATCATGGCTTAGAATTTCCATCTGGTTTTACTGTTCTGCAGCCCCTGAAGTCCTTGCCCAGAAGCCATACAGCAAAGCTGTGGACTGCTGGTCCATTGGAGTCATCACCTATATCCTGTGAGTAACAGCAAACAGCATCCCACTCATTTTTCCATGAGTTTCCCAACTCTTCCATCGCTCCCACACCTCTACAGAGCAGCAGTGTGAGTGGGGGCAGTGCTGGACCTGCTCTTTTTCTGCAGCACTGTGTTCCTCCTTTGCACAGGCACAGAAATTAAAGGGATGTGGGGAATGAAGCACAAGAGATGAAAGGAATCCCATTTTCTCCATTATGTGCCTCATCCTATGCTTTGTTTTTTTTATCCCGTTGCCTACAAATATCATTCAATCGTCCTTGGTACTTTTTGTTTCGTTTCCTCCCACACCACTCAGCTCTGTACCAGCTGTGGCTTTGTTGCTGCAGTGAAGTTTTTAATTCTTTTCTGCAGCTTCACCAATACACTTCGCTGTGAGGGGCAGATGGGATAGAGAAGCCTCCTCTGTCACCCCCTCAAGCTGTGGAAGAGCTTGTGCTGATACAGATCATGACACTGAAGGACTTTCTGCTCTGTTCCAGGCTCTGTGGGTATCCTCCTTTCTATGAGGAGACCGAATCCAAACTGTTTGAAAAGATTAAGGAAGGTTACTACGAGTTCGAGTCTCCGTTTTGGGATGATATCTCCGAGTCAGGTAAACTCTGGCACTGGGAATCACTGTGCTCCCTCCTCCTTCCTCCCACCTTCAATCCCAAACTCTGAGACCCATAGCCATGAGCCTGCACCAGCCAAGCCCCCAAACACCCTGTGCTTGCCTAAGCAGGGCTGGGAAGGATGAAGTGTTGAACTGAGTCACTCACACAGCACCAAACCCCCAGACGTGGGATTGAGCTCCCAACTCAGCAGTGCTGGGGGGATGGATGACGCCAAAGCCAAGCTGTACTGGCAGAACTGGGGGTGCTTTGCATCCTGCCTGGAATGCAGCATCCTTGCATGAAGCTGTTGCTAATGTAGCCCTGAATTTCACAAATGATTAGCAAGCTTTGAGTGGGCTTAGGTTTTCCTTGGAAATGTTCATGGTCAGGTTGGATGAAGCTTGGATCAGCCTGGTCTAGTGGAAGGTGTAGCCTACTCTGGAGCCTTTCACTACAAACATCTCCCTTGAATGGAGTAATCACAGACTCATGGAATCATTAGGGTCAGAAAAGACCTCCAAGATCATCAAAGCCCAACCTTCAACTGAATCCCACCATACCCACTCAACCACATCTTCTCATTTTTGAACACTTCCAGGGATGGTGACTCCACCACTTCCCTGGGCAGCACATTCCAGTGCTTAACCACTGTTTCAGTAAAGATTTTTTTTCCTAATATCCAACCTGAATCTCCCCTGGCACAATCACATAGTACAGACACCTCAGGGCTGACCTCTGCAATGTCTACCCACTAGGATTTACCATATCCCGTTAGGATCACATCTTGGAAGAAGGAGAAAATAACCTTTTCTCACTGCTTTTTTTTCACCCCTCCCAAACAGCCAAGGATTTTATCAGACATTTACTGGAGAAGAACCCAGCCACAAGGTTTACCTGTGAAGAAGCTCTGAGGCACCCATGGTGAGTGGACAGGGCCCTGGCAGTGGCTGGTGGCCACAGGGATTGACCAACCCCCACATCTCACTCCTATTCTCAGTGGTAGCTGAGAACAGGGGAGTCTCCCCCACCCCCATTATTAACGTCACCATCTGCCTCAGCCTGGCCCTGGGTGTTTCCTTTTTGTGTGCAAAGAAAGGAAATGATGAATAATTAAAGATGCAATTTGTGCATATCTGCCTCCATAAACAGAGGCAAAGAAGAAATCCCATCCCAAGCTTTTCCAAGCTTTCAAGTGTGTGTTTGTGTTACATTTGGTTGCTGTTTTTCCTTTGGGTTTAATTATTGCTGATTGAACGTACAAAGCAGTTAGCTGCTTCCAGAATGTGGAATGCCTTACAAATGCCATCTGCCTACGAGCCCATTTTCTTCTCTTCCCATCTGCAGGATTAATGGAAATACAGCCCTTCACCGTGACATCTACCCATCTGTCAGTGCTCAGATTCAGAAAAACTTTGCAAAGAGCAAATGGAGGGTAAGTCATTGCTGCTGGGAGCCCAGAGCCATGTCACTAGCAAATACCAGTTGCTGCCATCCAGCAAGAAGCAAGGCTTCAGCTGGTATGGGTAAGCACCCAAAAGCTAGGAACCTCCAAAACTGGATTCTCCAAATTGGAAATGGTATGCAGTTACTGTTTATAGGGGGTTTGGACCAATATGCACTGCTGCAAAGCAAAGATTCACCACAAACATCATGGCATAGTGGCCTTGCCAAGAAAGCTAAAGGGAGGGGGAAAGGATCATAGAACCCCAGAATAGTTTGGGTTGGAAGGGACCTTGAAGACCATCTCGTTTCACCCTCTGCCCTGGGCAGGGACACCTTCCACCAGCCCAGGTGGCTCCAAGCCCCATCCAACCTGGCCTGGAACCCCCCCAGCAATGGCCCAGCCACAGCTTCTCTGGGCAACCTGTGCCAGTGTCTCAGCACCCTCACAGGAAAGATTGTCTTCCATGTATCTAACCTAAGTTTCTCCTCTTTCAGTTGGAACCCATTAATCCTTGTCCAATCACTTATTGCCTTTATACTGAGGGAATGAAATTGGTGCTCCATCAGCAGATCTTTTTGGGAGCTTAATCCAGCTTTTTCCCCTTTCATCCTTGAAGACAAATTGGTACATCATTTTATATCAAGAGTTTTAGCCAATTTAGCTGGAGAGGGAGAGATGTCATAGGAACCACGTGCACAGTAGCATTTTCAATAGTCACATTCACAGTTTAGCTCTTGTCTCCATTTCACACCGAGAGGTAATTTACAGCTGTTCCCCCAATTTCCTCACGTAGAAACAGTCGTAAACTTCAACAGCATCAGCAGTTTGCACTCAATGGAAAATGTGGTGTTTATGCCAGGAATGGCACATCCCACTTTTCAGATGTTGTGCAAACAGTCAGTGCTAACCCACACAGCACTGCACCCCAGTGCAGTCCTCAGCTCAGGGGGACAGTCTGTCCATCCCACCCAACCTGCCATCTCCAGGTGCTCACCAGAGGGGTTTTTGTCTCATTTCCCAGCAAGCCTTCAACGCTGCAGCCGTTGTGCACCACATGAAGAAGCTCCACATGAACGGCCACGCGGCGGCCGAAAGTCCTCACCCTGTCATCCAAGTCTCAGAGGCCTCCAGACCCAACACACCCATGGTGGCCACTGAGCCAGCAGCACCAAGTGAAGACAAGGACACATCACTCCCTCAGGTCTCCACACAGGCCTGTCCAAACCCTCCAACTCAGCTGGAGCAAGACATAGGAATGAGAGAGGAAAAGCTGCAAATCCACCCAGAGAATGGACCACAGCCCACGGGCAGCAGCTTGGTCCTACCAGAAAACCACAGCCCTCCAACCAGAACTTCCTGTGGCTGCAGCCCAGCCTGCATGGGGCATGAGAAAACAAAGACATCCTTCTGCTCCGAGACAGTGCTGCTTAAAAAACCTGCAAAATCCCAGTAGGTATCCAAGTCATTAGCCATAACTTCCAACAAATTATATAGAAATAATCATCACTTGGAAGGAGTTGCCTGGCACATAAGTTGCCAGCCCCAGGTGGAGGTAGAAAGGGAGGAATAAGGAGGAAAGGAAGGAAGAAGCAAATGCTTTGGCTGGCTGGAAGCTGTGCCCAGCCAAGTGTCTTCTGTGCATGTATGAGCATCAGGTGAGGCAAGTTGCCCAGGCTGTGTGGCACAGCTCACTCTGAGCCAAGGCTCTGCTGCCACATGCCATGGAGCACATTTGCCTCTAGAAACTGAATTTCCCAGTGGTTAAAGCTGCTGGTGCCAATTACTGACTGGGGCTGAGTGACCAGACCCTGCCTTTGCTGCAGTGATTCCCACCCAGCTCTGCTTTGCTCTCAGCAGCTCATGTTCTCTACATTAACAACTTCATTTCCCCTGCAGAATGATCATAAATAATTGTTATTTCTCTGTTTTCTTCCTTCTGTTCCAATTCTCCCATTCCCAACCAGTCCTTTCAAATCAGAAGTTCTTGTTCCAATGAAAACCAGTAAACACTCGTCTCACTGTGGCACTGGGCAGACTGGAGTTTGTTTGATCATGTGATGGAAGCAGCCACCAGGCTCCCTACATTGCCAGAGGTAAGTGCTCTGCAATCCAATCACCAGCAGCTTTTAATTAATCCCATTAGGGCTTGAAAAAAAAGGGAAAGGCACAAATAGCAGAGGGATTGTATGTGAAATAAATGGACTTACAGGGGGTTTGGACCAGAAAAAAGCCTTGAACTAAACCACCTTTCAAGGAATGAATCATCTCTCAGCTTCCATTAAGTCCCATCCAGTGACTCTGAATCCAACTTTTACATGACAACAGGGTTGCCCAGAAATGTGGGAGAGGAAGCCAAGCATGGACCTGTCATATCAAACTCTACCATTATTCACAGCTACTCACTGGCAAACACACTGATCCAAACAGCTTCATCAACTGGGATTAGGGTTTTTCACCTGTGACCATGAGCAAAGGACTGACAAGAGATCCAGGGCTGAGCATAGCCAGGATGTCTCTGAGGCCTGAAGGGCCATTCCCTTTCCCAGATTTGGTCCAGGCAGGTGTAAGTAAGGTGTAAGTAAGGTGTAAGTAGCCTTTGCTAGTAGAGAGCAGAGCATGAAGATGCTCATTTTGTAGAGTAAAATAATGAAAGTTTCATCCTGTTTGAGCACAGCTTGGATAAATTCTGTTATCATTTGTACTCCATTGTATTTGAGCAGTAAGAAGCACTGCTATTAGATCCTGAACTAAAGAATGTTCCTCAAAGGTGAGCACCTGCTGGCAGAGCTCTCCTCAAAAGCTACATCAAGTGAGCTCCTTCCTATCATCTCTTGTGACAGTCTCTACTGATGAGATTGTATGAACAGCACTGCGATGTACAAAGGATGATAGAAGAGGCCAATGCAAGTAAGATCTAGTAGAGGCTCCAAAAAGGTCCATTCCAACCATCAGTCATGTAATAACCCTTAGAACTAAGCACACAAAGGGATCTAAGCTGCTCCTAACCCCCAAGCTACTGCTCATTAACAGAGCACATGCTGCTGGTAGCAGTCTGGAGAAACAAAGTTCAATCCTCAGCTGAAATTCTCTCTCTTGCAGAAACAGAAGGGCTGATTTACTCTTTCCTGCACTCTGAAGCCAGACATCACCAGTGCAAACAAGAAAGGAGGCTGTGTCCTGCCAGCAGAGTCTCAGAGAGCAGCAACAGACTGGGGACAGCAGCACATTAGTCCCAGGAATCCATCACTGCAGTGACCTCAGGGGGTTTTTTCTGGGTTGTTAAAACTGGGAGAAGGCAAGGGCAAGTCTGAGGTTCCTGCTAGCATATCCACTGTATATTATCCATACAGCATTGCTCAGTGCTATAAAGCTTTTGTTTTCTGTATCTTGTTTAGTTGTCCAATGCATAAATGCACTGCACAACATCAACCCCACAAACCAAAGCCATGCAGAGTTCTACTCAGTGGCAGGTCAGTTATTTTTACAATTTTCACCCTACTCACTCCTTGGGGGTTGGTTATTCCCAGGCTTTGTGGAGTTCAACATCCTCCAGCTGCCCAGGCTGCCCAGCTCTCACTGCAGCTACAAAACAAGAGACAACCTGCTAGCAACTTCCATATGTCTGATAATAACACAGCAAGGTCTCAGTTCCCTGCTTCTGAGTCTGTAATTGCACAATAAATACTTGCTTAATAAAGCTGAGGTTTGTTTTGTAAAGTGCCTCTTGGTTATTCATAGAAATCTGATGTGGAAATGCTCTGTTAAGCCCCTGCTAAAGCATTCCCTGTGCTGCCACACGACCTGCTCCCACTGGTGTTTCTCCTGGCAAAGTGTTCCATGGTAAATAAGCAGATTGTGGCAGAAAGTCAAACAAGATATTTGACTTCACCTTCGAGGATGAGATTGTGTTTCTCTTACTTGCACAAATATAGGTATGTTGTATAGAGGGAAATACAATTCTCTGTTTCTACAATCTGGTTATTTCAGGTATGACCAAGGAGGGAAGTACTGAAGCAACTTTGAAGGATTAACTGCAGCAGAGATAAAAAGCTGTAAAAGATCCCACATGAGGGTTTTAATTTGAACAGTGAAATTCAGCTTAAAGAGCTTGAATTGCCTAAAACAAGAAAAATAAAATAAAAAAAAGTCTTGGTTTATAAACCCCTCTGGAAATAACAACTTGGGAATGTTTTTCTGTGCCATGGGAGATGATGTCTCTCCCCCTTTCTCCTCCAACCACTGGGCAGCTTCAGCCAGTCCAACCCTCTCCATGGGGTTGCTCCTTTGGTTCAGTGCAGCTATTTTCCAGAGGTACGGAAATTCAATTTGCTAAAAATAGTGATAATGGGCACATGAAAACTCCAGCTGGAAAATGGGAATAAATAGAGCAGTCAGTGTCTGCAGAGGAGGCAGGAGATGCCTCTGGAGCGTGGTGACTTGCTCAAGAGCAGCTCTCATAGTAGGCAACTCGTCTTTCGATGGCATCTCGGATCCTTCCCACCTGCTCCTCCAGCCCAGACAGCCTGGCTGATTTGGCCAGCAAAGCCTTGTTTCTCTCCTGAATTTCTTTCTCTAAAGCTGAGGAGAGAGGGCATAAAACAATGATCAGACAAAGAGCAAGCATCATAGCCATTGCCCTCCCCAACAGGCTGCACTGAGCCTTCCCCTCCCTCCTGCACAGCTCTGGTGGGGTGAAAAAACCAACCTCTGCATTTCCTCATTTTCCCCCTCAAAACAACCCTCCAACACAAGTAGTCTCAGCAAAGCCTTTAGTTTTGAATGCTTAAAAATGGAAGGGAGTGTATGGAGGAAAATGGGGGCACAGTGGCATTTCCAGGTGAGGGTTCCCTTCCCTGGTGGCACCCTTGAAAACTCTTCAGCTTTCTGGCCCAAAACCACCAGATGCAGCCCAAATCTCACCATCTCACTGCCAAAAGTACACTGTCTTGCTCCTAATTTCTTCCCTTCCCACTGTGAGATTCCAAAGCTCTTCCCCAGTGCATGAGATGATTACATCGAGTCTTACTTTCCATCTGGACCATGATGGCCAAAGTTTCCTCAAGCAGATCCTGTGCCTCATTCCTTATGTCCTGCACCCTGCTGCCCTGCTCTCCCAGCACTGGGCTCTGCTCCATCTTGCTCTTCACCTCTGTGTACAATTGCTTCACTTGTTTAAAAGCCTGTGGAAAAGCAAATAAACAGCACAGGTAGGATCAAGCAAAGAGACTGTGGAGAAGAGGATTTTCCAATGTTCAATCCAGTTTAAATATTAAATGGATAATGCATTAGAGCTTTGTATCATGCAAATGTGTGACAGTTTGAAATGCACTCAAAGGCTGACTGACAGCTCCAGGGGCTACTCAGCAAAGGGCATTAGGATTGAATCAAAGAATTTAAGGGTTGGAATGGACCTTACAGATCATCCAGTCCCAACCCCTGCCCTGGGCAGGGACAGCTCCTCACTAGATCAGGTTGCTCAAGGCTCATCCAGCCTGGATTGAACACCACCAGGGTTGGGGCAGTCACAGCCTCCCTGGGCAACCTGTGCCAGTGTCTCATCACTCTCACAGGAAAAAACTTTTTTCTGATATCCAACCTAAGCTTCCCCTCCTTCAGTCTGAACCCATTGCCCCTTGTCCTGTCCCTGCAGTTCCTAACACAGAGTCCCTCTCCAGCTCCTTGTAGGCTCTTCAGAGAGTGACAAGTTGCTCTGAGGTTTCCACACAACCTTCTCTTCTCCAGGCTGAACAGCCCCAACTCCCTCAGCCTGTCCTCACAGGGAGATGCTCCAGTGCCCTTAGCAACTTGGTGGCCTCCTCTGCACTTGCTCCAACAGTTCCATGTCCTTCTTATGTTGAAGACACCAGAACTGTGTGCAGTATTCCAGGTGGGTCTCACCAGAGCAGAGTAGAGGGGAAGAATCACCTCTTTGCCCTGCTGCCCACACTCCTGTGGATGCAGCACAGGATTCCATTGGCTTTCTGGGCTGAGCTCACACTGCAGCTCAGGGTGAGAAAGGCCTTGGAAAAATTCAGCAGTGGATACTGCAGCTGATGAACAAGAAGTGACGTGCCAGCACACGAGCCACAACCTGAACACAAAAACCTCCTTGCCTTGCTCAGAGATGTGCCAGGACACAGCTGGCTGGGCTGGCTGGTGCCAGCAGGGAGTGGGGCACAGCTGTGACACCCCAGAACCAGTACCTGCTGGGCCCTCCTGGCCTGCTGCTCTGCTGTCCCTGCTGTCTGCTGTGCATCAGTGGCCCTCAGGTGGTTCTGGTTGACCTCAAGCTGCAGCTTCAAGAACTTCTCTGCCAGCCCATCCAGCTGCCCCGCGATGGATGCCACGTTCTTCTCGGCTGGACCAAGGACAGCCTCGATCTAAAGGAGGAAGAGATTTTTTAGGAAGAGAGTGCTCAGGCATTGGAATGTGCTGCCCAGGGAGGTGGTGGATTCACCATCCCTGGAGGTTTTCAAGCTGAGACTGGATGTGGCACTTAGTGCCATGGTCTAGTGACCACAGTAGGGTTGGACTCAGTGATCTTGGAGGTCTCTTCCAACCAGGTTGATTCTATGATTCTATGATAAAAGCACAGTGCTCTATGTTAAGAGGGAAATCACAAGGATTTTCCTCTGCAGGGACCAGCTCTGCTGGCTGATGGTCACAGCACAGACCTGGGGGCTCAGCAGCACACAGGGACTGCTCCCTGCACAGCCAAGGCTCCAGCAGAGACCATGACTGGAGTCTGAAGAACACACAGTCAAGGCACACTTTTACAGCAAAGCTTCTCCAGATCCTACATCCCTGCTGGGCTGGTGCAGGACTCCACAAGAGGGAAGTTCCAAGGTGATCAGGGCACAGGATTGTTACTGGGAAGTCACTGGGCACCACTTACTTCATCGATGCGCTCACGGATGAAGCGAAGGGGAAAGCTAGAACCTCTGATAGTGTCCTGAGCCTCCTGGAGCACTCTGTCTGCTTGCTGCAGATTCCTCACCACCTCTTCCACGTTGCCCTCCACAGCATTTGCTCGGTTCCTGGAGAAATGTGGGAAACAA